GGACGAATGGGAGCCGTTCATTATGTCCCCTGTTACGGCGCCCTGGGTGGGGGGTGTTTTCTGTTTCATAAACGTCGAAGCGTCACACAGTAGACCTTTTTAGTCAGACCTTGGGGAATAATTCCTATGACTGCAGCATCTTCCACCGTTTCCCCCTGCTTGTCACCCAGCTCCTTGCCGTCTTCTCCGCGGCCCGTGTTTTTGTGAGGCCCCTCTGTCTCTGCACGGTTGGTTTCTTCCGCTGGGTTGCCTGTTCTTCAGTGCCGCCCCCACCTCCCTCACATGCCCCTGGGGGCACTCCTGCCAATCCCCTCCTCCACTCTGTTTCACAGCACCTTGTAACTGCCTGAGCGGCAGGGGTTCATGTTGTTTGTCTCTCCATTATACTTGGTGGCTCTTTGAAGGTGTGGATATTATTGTATACCTTTGTGTCTTTGGTGCTTAGTAAGTGAGGTGCTTAATAAATTTTTGTTAAATGACTGGAGAAATGAAGTTATGACCCCAAACAAAACAACATTTACAATTATAAAGGGGAAATGTTTGAGATGAGTAATACTGTTTGTCTTTGTGGATCACCATAAAATTATTTGTTCCCTTTGCACACTATAGAAGAATTCTCTTGTGGCTTGCTTAGTATCATTTGACTGAAATGACTGCAGAGGGACATTTCTATTTCTGAGCTAGAGCAGATTAACAGGTTTTCAGATCAGCAAACCCTCCTGGTGATCCCATAGGGAACTTTACTTAGGTCAGTGTGGTGCCAAGGTTTTGTGTTTGATATAAGAATTCAGCTCCAGTGACTGTATCATTCACAATTTTATCCAGTCCTCTCTTTTTCTTAGGTAAACTATTTACATGTTTATCACCTACTGTGTAAAATTGTACATTTTGATTTTTCTAAAATTAGCTCTGAGCTGCTAGGGCTATCCTATCCCCTGGTACTAGTGTGAAAAGATTTGGTGAGTAAATCTGTATTTATGTTATCCAAACCCTTCTCATCTTATACACCAAAATATTTCTCCTTTTGGCCTATGTCTTTTCACACTGAGGAGGGTGAATGTTTTAGTTCTTTCATGCAGATAAACTGGTGGTGATCATGGTTCTCATTTGGATTGACTTCAGGTCTAGAATGAAGTTTTTTGTTGTATGGTGACCCTAATCCTGTGAATTAGGAGAGAATTTCTTCAAATTGTCCTTGATTATTGGCTTTTTTTTTTTAGTGTTACTTTGTCTGTATATTTCACTATTTTAATATTTATTATAATCCTCTATTTCTTGATAGGAATATATAAATTGTGTGTCAGATTGTAGTCTCTGTGTTTTTAAATTACATATTATATCTTAAGTTTTTTTCTTAAGTGATAACAGCAGTATCTTGTTCCATTTTTGTTACCTCTCCAAATGTAGACTCTTAGTAATAATTATTATTTTCTACTATTTATTAATGAAAACATCTTAGTTGGGCTAAGATACGTTTCTAAACACAGTAATAATAAAAGATTCTTGTAGTGCTCTGTTAGATATATAATTATGCATTCTAGCCAAGAATTACATCAGTTATTTTCAGATTATGTTCCAGGGAAAACCAGGTTTAGAGTCAACTAACATATATTTAGTGTTTACTTATGTCAAGTGTTCTAGGTAATTTCTCATGTAATTCATTGTTTTGTGCCTTCGATCTTAGTAAACTTTATACTCAGAGAAAAACTGATCCGTCAAAAGGTACCAAGCCATCCCATTTTAAATTAGCCTACTTTTAAAAATAAGCATTTATTGCATTTGTGGGATTTGAAGGAACAGTGTAGTTAAGATACTTAGAACAATACTCCCAGATACCAGTTTTGGTTTTAAAGTAATTATATCATTTTTTAGTGTCAAAATTAATTTAACTGACCATGTTAAGAACCGTTAAGTATTATTATCAAAATGGTGTGTTGTATGTTAATTCAGCTGACATATAAGCAGAAAGGTGTAAAAATGATAGACTCAGGCACTGTTATTTCCTGAACTTCTCTTTTAACCAGGATGCGACCTGCAGATGATGTCCTGGTGGCCCTCTGCGAGGGGTACCCTTCACTCTTTTCTGCCTGTGGGGCCATTGCTTGAGACTGTCTTGAGATGTCATGTATCCTCTGTAGCTTTTCATGATGTCCTTTGTTCTTCTCTTTGTTCCAGTGCTACTCTGTGCAGAGTCTGTCAGCACATATATTTATTGTAGGTATTTGCCTCTCAGGCTGCATTTGGATATCCTTCATTTAATTTCTACCATACGCAAACTCACATTAATCCTTCAGGAAGTATGCGTTGCTTGGTCCACTTACCTGGTTGATTGTAGTTGCTGGTTTGACTGCTGCCTGGGTATCATTACAACACAGGCCTTGATTAACTTTCTACAGAACAAGGGTATGGACTAGGGATCCCTAAGATCTCCCGTATCCCCACAGTTGTCATTATATGATTCTAATCCATCACAAGAAATATATTGTGAAATCATTAACTAATGTTTGCATAATGCTTAGAGAATTTTTAATGAGAAGTAGATACTTGAGGTTAGTGTTAATTAATAGATGGCTTATTAACCTTTCTTTTTCTTTTTCCACCCCCAACAACACACTAGAAAAATGTACTTTCAAGAGTAAATTGAAATCTGGTGAAATATTTTGATTGCTTCATAGAATTTAGCTTTAAAAAGAAGCATCAGTATAGTGACTGTAGAAATGGAAATCCTATGCATATAAATAGAGTTGACCCTTGAACAAGGAGGAGTATTGGTTCCAAGACCCTCTGCAGATGCCACAGTCTCATAGTTGGCCCTCCATATCCGTGGTTCCATAGCCACGGATTCAGCTAACCGTGGACCTTATAGTGCTGTAGGATTTATGGGGAAAAAATCTGCATAGAAGTGGACCTGGGTAGTTCAAACCCATATTGTTCAAGGGTCAGCTGTAGTTACAATAAAACAGAAAGCAGCGGCAATGTGTAGTTTTCATAATTTTTCAAAATATTTAAAATCCTGTCAGTTTTTATTCTTATGCTTTCTTTGTGAAGGAGGGAAGACATGTATTGCTCATAGTCGGGGGAAGCTAAGATCTAGAGAGATTAAAGGCTTATTAATTCCTCCATAGAAAGATACTGAGTGCCTGCATATGGGCACAATGATGAGTAATTTATCCTACTTGACTTTGAGAGCAGGACAGACAGATTTATAAACAAATACATTAGTTGATAATATAGTTAATTATGGTAGAAGCACAGAAAGTGGTGCACGTAACTCTGCGGTGTTGTTTGGTGAAGCTCCACAGAAGAGGCGATTTTTAACGCATTCTCATTAAAGAAGGAATGGAGACCTTTGCCAGAAGGGGAGTAGGATGAGGAGAAGGGCCCTGCAATAAAAGAGAATGAACAAATGTAGAGACCTAGAGTTAGGAAAGGGGCCTGGGTATTTGAAGAACAGGGTCAAGTTCAATGCAGCTAGAACATTACTGTTCAATATAAATGTAAATATGTAAGTTAAAAATTTCTAGTAGCCACATTAAAAAGTGAAAAGAAATAGGCGAGTTTAATAATAATATATTTTATTTAATCCAATATGTCTGAAATATTTATGTTGTTTTCATACTTAAGTGTGAAGCATTTGATTTTAAAGATCAAAGCAGGTATATATTTTATAAGTACAAAACATCTCAGTTAAGACTAGCCACATTTCAAGTGCTCAGTTTCTAGAAGCTTAGGGGTGTTTGTGTGCACATGAGAGAGAGAAAATGAGAATAAGAAATGTGTGCACTATAGAGGGGGAGATGGAGAGATGAGGTCGAAATGTTTGTTGGAACCATATTTTGAAAGACCTTGAATGCTGCCTGAATTTGGAATTTATCCTTATAATGTAGTAGTTTATATCTGTGCTTTTAAAATTATTTGTACTGAAAGGCCAGTTTTCTAAATTTAGGATTTGTTGCAGGCTGAGACTTTTGCATAAATATAACAGCAGTGAATTAGAAACATAAAATAAGAGGTATACGAAGAGAAGCACCATTTTTTTGTCATTAGATTTGACAAATGTACAGTTATTCTGTCAGTTACTTATAAAGGTATCTAAGCCAGTGCTATGCAGTAGAGCTTTCTATGATGACAGAAGTGTTCTGTCTGTGCTGTGCAAGACAGTAGCCACTAGCCACATGTGGCTATTAAGCATTTGAAATGCAGCTAATATGACTGAGAAACTGCATATTTATTTTAATTTCAATTGAAATAACCACAGTAGACTATTGGCACAGCACTGGCTATGTTTACTCTTAATCTTTGTATTTATCTTTGTATTTATCTTTTGTGAACTAGTGAAAAGCAGTGTGGACTGCCATTGGTACACAAACCATACCCTGAGAAGCACTGTTTACAGGTGGCCTCGAGAGCTGGAAAGCCTTTGGTGTCCTTGGCAAGTTACTTAATCTCATTACCCCAGGATCCTCAATTCTAAAACCGAGGAAACAGTCTCATAGAGTTGCTGTGAGGATTAAATGTGGAGGGGATGGGGTTAGGGAGAGGACCAAGAACAGATGACATCTGAAAGGGCCTCAAAGAATGAGTTCAATAGGCAAAGAGGAGAGAGCCTCTCAGGTAGAAGGAACTCTGAAACCCATTTGGACCGTACCCTATTTAGAGGAAGGGGTAGCGACTAACTGCCCGAGCCCTGTCACTGCTACCACTATTTCTTCCTCTCTTTCCTAGTTATCTTCTTATTTTAATCTTTTAGCATATATTAAACTGGATTGCTAAGTAACATGTGATTCTGTGGTTTTAATAAATGCTGCCTTATCAATAAGGCAATCAATCATTGCCTCTTTAATTCTTCATTCCTGATGCCTGGATTTAATGGTGCAAATTGAGCAACAGTTGAGAAGGGAAGGGGAATCCTGTTTAAAAAGCAGTCCCTGCGTTATGGACAGATAGCTGTGAAATTTTTTTCCCCAAAGCATATTTCTTACTTACATATATTATTTTAGGAAGAGAACCAACTGGAAAAAATGAAGTTTCTTCTCTTCATATTTGTTGGTGTCGTTCACCTTTTATCCTTGAACTCTGGGAAAGCTATATATAAGAATGATATCTGTCAGAGGACTTTTCAAGAAATAAAAGAAGAAATTGCCTGTTACGGAGATGTTGCTAAAGCAATCATCAACCTTGCTGTTTATGGTAAAGCCCAGAACAGATCCTATGAGCGATTGGCACTTCTGGTTGATACTGTTGGACCCAGACCAAGTGGCTCCAAGAGCCTAGAAAAAGCCATCCAAATCATGCACCAAAACCTGCAGGAAGATGGGCTGGAGAATGTCCACCTGGAGCCTGTCAAAATACCCCACTGGGAAAGGGGAGAAGAATCTGCTGTGATGCTGGAGCCGAGAATTCACAAGATGGCTATTTTGGGCCTTGGCAGCAGCATTGGGACACCCCCAGAAGGTATTGTTTGTCTTTTCAAGTCAGTTTGCTATGTTCTTTATAAAACTAATGCCATGTGACATAACTGATTATAGGGTGCATGATTCACATTATAATTTGGGTGATAAAAAGGAAGATATAATCATTTCCCATTCCATTGGCTTAATGAGTTTTTTACTCTTATATTCTTTTTTCTTCCTTTTTTCCTCTCTCTTTTCTGAAAGAAAGCTGTACAGTGTCACTTCTTGGAATGAAGAATCTACAGCTATTGGTCCATGAGACTTCTGAGCCCTGTCACTTAATAATTTCTGTCTACTATAACATTAGTGTCATCCTGTAGAAAATAGAGATATATGTGTACATAGGAAACAAAAACTATGACTTCTTCCAAGGGGCCTCAATGTACAGAATTTCTTAGAATTAATAGGGAACAAAGCCTTGTACACTGAATTGATTTAAGTTAATTATTTTTATAGAACCTGAGGCCTCTAATGCAAGGAGTTATCCAGGGTGGAGTTGTACCTGCTTATCAGCACTCTGGCTCAGCTTCATCAGATGGTGCAAGTGCTTACTTAGATCAGAGATTTACAACCAGTCAGCAGTGAGCTGTGAGTCGGTACTGGACTATTCATGAACTCTTTTCCCTTGGCAAAGGAACTGCAGTTGACCCTTGAACAAGAAAAGGGATGGGGCACCAACCCTCCATACAGCTGAAAATCTGCATAGAACTTATAGTCAATCCTCTATATATACAGTTTGGTTCTTCTATACCTGTGAGCTTCTGCATCTGCAGATTCAACCAACTGTGGACTGTGTAGTATTGTTGTATTTACTGTTAAAAAAACCCACATGTAAGTGGACCTGCGCAGTTAACCTGCATTGTTCAAGGGTCAACTGTAGTTTATAAAAAATACCAGTGACCCTCTCTAAAAAGTTTATAGAAATTTTCGACCTTCTCTGATGCCAAGATAAACACCCAGCAGAGGAGAAGATAGTAAGCTTTTGAGAAACATCTTTATTGAGATATAATTCATGTACCATAATGTTCACCCATTCAAAACATACAATTCTGAAGTTTTTAACATAGTCACAGAATTGTGCAACTACCACCAAAATCTACACTTCATCACCCCAAAAAAGAAATTTTATACTTATTAGCAGTTACTCTCCATCCCTTTCCTGCCACCCTCCTAAGCCTTAGGCAACCACTTATTTGCTTTCTGTCTTTATGGATTTACCTATTCTGGATATTTCATGTGAATTAAATGATAATACACTGTGTTATGGTCTGTGACTGGCTTCTTTCATGTAGCGTAATGTTTTTTAGGTTCATCCATGTTGTAGCATGTATCAGTACTTAATTTGTTTTCATTGTTGAATAACTTTCTGTTTTATGGATATATCATATTTTATTTATCCATTAATCAGTTGTTGGACATTATTTACCTATCTGTTGGCTATTATGAATATTGTTGCTATAAACATTTATGCATAAATTTTTGTGTATACATGTATTTTCATTTCTCTTGGGTATATACCAAAGAGTAGATTGCTTGATTATACAATAATCCTGTATTTAACTTTTGGAGGAACTGCCAAACTGTTTCCAAAGTGACTGCACCATTTTACATTTTCACTGATAAATTCTAAGTTTTACACATACTTGTCAACAGTTGTTACTGGTCTTTTTGGTTATAGCTGTCTTAGTGGGTATGAAGTGATACTCATTTTGGTTTTCATTTCCATTTCTCTAATGACTAAAGATGTTTAGCACACTTTCATGTTCTTATTTGCTGTTTGCATATCTTCCTTGGAGAAATACATATTCAAATTCTTCGCCCAATTTTTAATTGTGATATTTGAATTTTTATTCTTTAATTGTAAAAGCTCTTCATGTGTTCTGGATGTAAGTCTCTTATCCTTGTGATTTAATATTTGATATAGAAAAGTCTTTAATTGTGATTTAGCACGGTTTATCTAATTTTTTTCTGTTGCTTGTGCTTTTTATGTTATTTATCTAAAAATCATTGCCTAAACCAATTTCACAAAGATTTATTCCTATATTTTCTTCTGAGAGTTTGATAATTTTAACTCTTACATTTAGGTCTGTGAGATAATTTTAGTTGTGAGGTAGGAGTCCAACTTTGTTCTTTTGCTGTGATCATTTAGCATCTCAGCATCATCTGTTGGAAAGACTATTCTTTCCCCACTGAATTAGGTGTATTTTGTTAATTGATTTTCGGATGTTAAACCAACTTTGCATTCCTGGGATAAATCCCACTTGAATATAGTGGATAATCTTTTTATATGTTACTGTTACTGAGTTCAGTTTGCTAGTATATTGTTGAACAGTTTTACATGCATATTCATAAGGGATATTGGTCTGTTGTTTGTGTGTGTGTGTGTGTGTGTGTGTGTGTTTGTCTTCGTCTGGTTTGAAATCAGGGTAATTCTGTCCTAAAAGAATAAATTGAAAAGTATTATCCTATCTTCTATTTTTTGGAAGAGTTTGTGAAAGATTGGTATTAAATTTTTGTTGAATTCAACAGTGAAGCCATCTGGTTCTGGAAATTTCTTTGTGGGAAGATTGTTCATTATTACTTCAATATTTTTCCTTCTTATAAATCTCTTCAGATTTTCAATTTTTTGAGTCAGTTTTAGTAGTTTGTGTCTTTCTAGGGACTTATTTTTATATAGATTATGGAATGTTTTTGGCACACAGTTATTGATAGTATTCACCTATAGTTGTTTTTGTTTTTGTGAGGCTAGGGATCCAAATTACTGTTCAGTGTCATTTGCTTTCTGCCTGAAGAACTCTTGTTAGTTCTTTGTTGTTTGTTTGTTTTTCAAAGCAAGTCTGCTAGCAGAAAATACGCTTAAGCTTTCATCCATCTTTATTTCTTTAATCTTCATTTGTGAAACACAGTTTTACTGGATATAAGATTTTTGATTCACAGTTTTTTAATTTCAACACTTTGAATTTGTCATTCCATTGTCCCCTGACCTCCATGGTCTCTGATGAGAAGGCAGCTGTTAACATTTTTGGAATTCCCTTGTACAGGCATACCTCGGAAATAGTGTGGTTCAGTTCCAGACCATTGCAATAAAGTGAATATTGCAATAAAGTGAGTCACATGAATTTTTTTGGTTTCCCAGTGCCTATAAAAGTTATATTTACAGTACAAGGTAGTCTGTTAAGTGTGCAATATCAGTATGTCTAAAAAAACAATGTACATACCTTAATCAAAAAATAATGCTGTTGGAAAAATGATGCCAAAAGACATGCTTGACTCAAGATTGCCACAAGCCTTCAATTTGTAAAAAATGCAATATCAGCAAAGCACAATAAAAAAGGTATGCCTGTTATGTGACAAGTCATTTTGCTCTTACTGATTTCAAGATTGTTTTAATCTTTATTTTTGGTTTTCAACATTTTGATTTTCATGTATCTAGATGGGGATCTCTTTGCTTTTATCTTGCTTAAAGGTTGTTGAGCTTTAAGTGTAGATAAATGTTTTTCATCAGTTTGGGAAATTTCACCTATTTTTTTCTACAAATATATTTCCTACCCCTTTTTTGCTCTCTTCTCCTTCTGGTACTTCCATTATGAGTATGTTGGTGCACTTAATGGTGTCCCACAGTTCTCTGAGGCTCTGCTCATTTTCCTCCCCCTCTTTCCCCTCTCTGTTCTTCAGATTGCATAATCTGTATCAATCTACCATTAAGTTCATTAATTTTTTCTTCTGTTTGCTTAAATATAGTACTTAGCCCTCCTATTGATTTTTTTTTCAGTTATTTTACTTTTCAACTCCAGAATCTCCACTTGGTCTTTTCTATAATTTCTCTTTATCAGTATTCTCTATTTGATGAGATGTTGTCATCATACCTTCCTTTAATTCTTTAAGTATGGTTTCCTTTGTTTCTTGAACATGTTTATAATAGCTGCTTCAAAGTCTTTGTCTGGTACGTCCTACAGCTGGGCCCCCTCAGGGCAGTTTCTATTGCCTGCTTTTTTTTTCCCTGTGGATTGGTCATGCTTTTCTATTTCTTTTCATGTCAGATATTTTGTTGTTGTTGTTGTTGAAAACTGACTTTAAATAATATGTTCTAGCAACTCTGGGTACTGATTCTTCTCCCTTCTTCTCCACGGCCCCCTGGAAGTTGAGGTGGTTTTTGTTTTGTCCTTTGTGTGTTTAATGACTTGGGTGTGTGAACTTTGTGAAGTCTTTTTCTCCCACAGTGTACAGATCCTGATGGCCCTATTCTTAGTGCTTTTGTTTTTCCTGTTTTACCGTTAGTCTGGCCTTCTAGGTGTCACCCCGAAATACACACAAGCCACTTATTGGTCAAAGGCTGTGCTTAGGTGCCCTTAGTCGGTTGCATTTTTAGCCTTTACTGTTGGATGTTTATGTGCTTGAGGGTTGTTATTTAAACTTAATGAATTTATGTTTTTGCCCCAAATTCAGCCAGGGCCTTGTAGCTCGGAAGTACCCCCTCCGATCAGTTTTGGGAGGGCACAGTCTTGGGCATGTACATAGTCTTCCAGCCTGCTGGGTTGCATGTGAGTTTATTACTAGGCCTAGCTTAATAATACTTCCCCCTATGGCAGAATGGCTTAATTTTCAGCCAGTGTTTGGTTAGAGGCTGTGCTTAAGCCTTTTGTGCCAGTGAGGCTTCTGCCCTTTGTTGACAGATCTGGATGCAGCTTGGGAAATGTTTTCAGTCTGACCATTGTCCAGTTTTGATTGTTCCTGAGTAGGAACATGTGCATTGCTTTTTCAATACCCAGGGTTTATTGTGGTCCAAGGAGAGCTTTTCTTAATTGCTTTTTTCCCTCTGGTTCTTTTTGTGAAACTTCTGATTGTTCTGCCATTTTGCTTATTTCTAGCACTACCATGAAGCATCCCCTTACTTGCCCTCTACCAAGCTCTCCATTGTTTTCAACAGTACCCTCAGGCATGGAATTCTCTGTGTTCTGCTCCAAATAAAGTCACTGTCCTGGGGAGGAGCTGCAAAGCTCT